GGTGTCAATATGTCATATGTCAGGTGTCAATCCATATTGATTGTGATTTAGGAATGTTAGGTGATTTCTGCCCTTTATGGATTAAAACCAGACTCTGTATCAACTGTGTAATTTTCCATGGGAGTTTTGCCATGGATCCCCCTCCGGCATGCCACAGTCCAGGTGTTAGTCCCCTTGAAACAACTTTTCCATCCCTATTGTGGCCAGAAAGAGTCCCTGTGTGTTTTAAAATTCGCCTCCCCATTGAAGTCAATGGCGTTTCGGGCGGTTCGCCGGTTCGCGAACATTTGCGGAAGTTCGCGTTCGCCGTTCGCGAACCGAAAATTTCGGGTTCGCGACATCACTATTGGATACATTCTGAAAACCCACATCTGTACTTTAGACCCACTGTATCAGGATGTATATTTCCACTGGTATAAATGTTATAATTTACATACACACATTTTATTACATTGAACTTTGCTCCTTTACCTTAAATCCATTCATTTGAGAATATATGCAATGTGAACATTTACAAGTTATTTTGAAACATTGTCTCAATACTAATATATAATAACCCCAAGGATTTCTATAAGCATTCCTTATGTTCAGTGAGAAGAGAAAGACATTTTTCATTTCCATTGCTTCTTTTTCTTTAATCTTCCCTGTATGTGAATGTCCTGATTTGACCTGTTGATGTTTGCTGCATTAGTTTCATTTTGTACTTGAACTCCCTTTTACTGAAACTTTTCCTTGTCAAGCAGATCTTTATGCTGTATGTATAGAAAGTACACCCACCCATATCCTTTATTATACAGGATAGCATCTCGTTCGTCTAATGAGATACATTATTAAACAACGTGTGCTGAATTTCAGAATTACACAGAAAGAACTAAGATTTTGAACATAAGGTAACACAAATAAAATACATGCAGAAAATTACGGTGAGGTCTTATGGGAACAAGTCCACCCACGTTCTCATGTATTAAATAGACAATGCAGTAAAAAAGTTACATTTAAAAAGATATAAAAATAAGAGCAGCTATGCCATGGTATACTACTGTCAAAGGAAATATAGGCAGAATCGTAGTAGGTAGGGGCATCTTTAGCAAGCACCCAACCAAAGACTGCTTGAAACAAAAGTACTCGGATGGGGTATGCATAAGTGTAGTAGTTATGGTGCTATAGTTATGAGACTCTATAAGCATGGAGTTACAAACAGAGGAAATAGCGGAACTAGCAAACAGTGGAAGGAGAGAGAGTGAGTTGGGCTATGGAGATGAGGGAACGCTATATAGATTTTGGTCTTCTAGATGTAGATGTACGAAATAAGCTATACCACCATATCAATAAAAAAGAGGCATTCAAAATGCATTTCCTATAGTTCTAACCCTTTAAAAGTTAGTGATATGTCTATGTCATAACAACCTGGCCCTTAAAGAACATACTTACGGTCACGTATACATCCTCTCCATATGCTATGCACAACATAAATCACCTTTCCAGGAGTAGGAGACGTGCTGCTCGGCGGTCCTAAGCCATAAGGCCGGGCTTTTGCGAAATGTCGGTGGACGCTGGCCACTGCGGATCCCCACTGTTATGTAACCCCACGTCTGTTCACAGTGGTAGCGACGTGCAGGTGACGTCACACAGAGGACGCGTGTGCACATTTTAGGATCAAAGCCCAGGTACGGCCAATCGGATTCACAAGAGGGATATTTAAACTCACTCATTTCTTCTACTCATGGTCCTGTCATGGTTTCCCTTTGCTGCTTATCCAAGAGTGTGTTCCTGATCATGTTTCTTTGGTTATTTACTTTGGCTTTGTTCTGACTTCCCTGAATTCTGGTATCCTTGACTATTGGCTATTCCTTGCAACTGTGTTTCATTCTGTGTTCCTGACCTGACCTGACCTCGGCTAGTATTTAGACTATTCTCTGGTACGTTAAGTCCGGCCAAGGTCTGGTTAGACGTTATCCTTATTCCTAAGTGTGATACTAATACTGCATGTTGGATCAATTGTAATCCTGACACTTACATAAGATGATCTTCTCTTTCATGATTAAAAAGACTGTATAGATTTCCTATATATTGGCGTAGAGTTTGTACAGGCTGATTTGAAACTACTCTTACTAGTGATATCCTCAATGATTAAGTGGAGAAATGCAACATTCCTTCAATTAAACACAATCAGGACTAAGATGAATTGGAGCTATAATAATTGAAAAGAATTTAGTCTATATTGCCAACATTGTTGTTGTTACCCATAAAAGCTCATCTTTAATTACGAACTGTTTTATCCAGCGCAGTGATTACTCATTTGTTGTTTGTTTTTTTTATTGTAGGACTATTATTGAGTGTCAGTTTATATGTTCTCCCAGCTTTGGCATTGTATAAAATTTAATTTAAGAATTAGTACATTGTGTAAGCTGCAAGTAAAATTCTAAATAAAATTATTTCAATTGAAATACAACATGATTTATTGGGCTATATCCTTGAGTGTTCAGCTTACACAGCACAATGGAATACATAACGATACAGAGAGGTAAGGATATCAGTGCAAACCACCAGTGAGGAGGGCAGCACTGCATAGTGGAAAGGACAGCAGTAAAATACAGTGGGGATGTAGGTAGGTGGGCAGCACTGCACAGCAGAAAGGACAACAGTAAAATACAGTGGGAATGCAGGTAGGTGGGCAGCACTGAACAGTGGAAAGGACAGCAGTAAAATACAGTGGTGATGCATGTAGGTGGGCAGCACTGCACAGTGAAAGGACAGCAGTAAAATACAGTGGGAATTCAGGTAGGTGAGCAGCACAGCAGAATGGACAGCAGTAAAATACAGTCAGAATGCAGGTAGGTGGGAAGCACTGAACAGTTTAAAGGACAGCAGTAAAATACAGTGATAATGCAGGTAGGTGGGCAGCACTGCACAGTGAAAGGACAGCAGTAAAATACAGTGGGAATTCAGGTAGGTGAGCAGCACAGCAGAATGGACAGCAGTAAAATACAGTGAGAATGCAGGTAGGTGGGAAGCACTGAACAGTGGAAAGGACAGCAGTAAAATACAGTGATAATGCAGGTAGGTAGGCAGCACTGCACAGTGAAAGGACAACAGTAAAATACAGTGGGAATTCAGGTAGGTGAGCAGCACAGCACAGCAGAATGGACAGCAGGAACACAATGTGAAGGCAGTATATTTTGCAGCAAATATAAAACATTGCCACAGACCAGGATTGAGGGCAATATTACACAAAAGGAAAATACTTGCAACATTCAACAAGAGCTGAGATAACGGTAACACTATATAGCAGAGAGAATGGTAGTACCATACTGCAGTGAGGATCGTAACACTATACAGGAGTGAGGATGGTAACACTATGTAGCAGTAAGAATGGCAACACTATACAGGAGTGAGGATGGTAACACTATATATAGCAGTAAGAATGGTAACACTATACAGCAGTGAGGATGGTAACACTATATAGCAGTAAGAATGGTAACACTATACAGCAGTGAGGATGGTAACACTATATAGCAGTAAGAATGGTAACACTATACAGCAGTGAGGATGGTAACACTATGTAGCAGTGAGCATAGTAACACTATACAGGAGTGAGGATGGTAACACTATATATAGCAGTAAGAATGGTAACACTATACAGCAGTGAGGATGGTAACACTATATAGCAGTAAGAATGGTAACACTATACAGCAGTGAGGATGGTAACACTATGTAGCAGTGAGCATAGTAACACTATACAGGAGTGAGGATGATAACACTATACAGCAGTAAAAATGGTAACACTATACAGCAGTGAGGATGGTAACACTATGTAGCAATGAGCATAGTAACACTATACAGCAATGAGGATGGTAACACTATTCAGCTGTGAGGATGGTAACACTATATAGCAGTGAGGATGGTAACACTATAGAGCAGTGAGGATGGTAACACTATTCCGCAGTGAGGATGGTAACACTATAGAGCAGTGAGGATGGTAACACTATTCCGCAGTGAGGATGGTAGCATTATATAGCAGTGAGAATGGTAGCACTATATAGCAGTGAGAATGGTAACACTATATAGCAGAGAGGATGGTAGCCAGACAATTACATTCAATTTCACCCAAATTGTCCTCACTTGCAAAAGTCAATACCATACATCCACATGTCAGTTCACCCTCTCCATCCCCAATTTAGACTGCCACATATGCCTGACAAATAACTGTCTCTCTGTCCAAATAAAATTTTGCCACATTTGCAGTTTAGGCACACTACATGCAGCACACAGACACACTCTGTGAAGTACAAATACAAACTCCCTACAACACACACTCCATGAAGTACACAGACACTCCATGCAGCAAATAGACACACCTCATGCATTTCAAAGTGACATCACATGCTTGAAATGTTGCAGACAAATGAATGAATTTGATAAATTAAAGCAGAGAAGTAGCAAACAAACTTTACCACCCTTCCTAGCCATGAATCAGGCCCCAGTCCATTTACCTTTCTTCTGATTAACAGACCGACTCCTCACTCCTTCCTCTCTTCAAACCCAAGACAACACTCAGAGCAGGTTGAGTTGCTTTCTTCATAAACCCACAAGGAAGGCATCCTGCTTTTTGGTGTGAGAAGGGGTGGTGCTAAATGGAGGCAGCAAATGACTGAATAGATTTCTTCCTGCCACCCATGGGACCTTGCCTAATAAAGAAACCTGTGTGCTCTCACCTCTGCTAAGGACCTCACTGCTCTCCATTCCCTGACGGGTGGCCAAGAGAGGACCCCTTTATTTTGGTGGGTCCCAGAGCCATTGCACTTGCTACTCCTGCAGTAGTTCTTAGTTCTGCCTCTAGCAGAGAGGATGGGAGCACCACAGAGCAGAGAGGATGGTAGCATCACACAGCACAGAGAAGATGGTGATATCATACAGCAGAGAGGATCGAAGCACCGCACAGCAGAGAAGATGGTGATACCATACAGAGGAGAGGATTGAAGCACCGCACAGTAGAGAAGATGGTGGTACCAAACAGCAGAGAGGATCGAAGCACAACACAGCAGAGAAGATGGTGGTACCATACATCAGAGAGGATCGAAGCACTGCACAGCAGAAAAGATGGTGATACCATACAGCAGAAAGGATCGAAGCACAACACAGCAGAGAAGATGGTGGTACCATACAGCAGAGTTGATCAAAGCACCGCACAGCAGAGAAGATGGTGGTGCTATACAGCAGAGAGGATGGAAGCACCGCACAGCAGAGAAGATGGTGGTACCAAACAGCAGAGAGGATCGAAGCACAACACAGCAGAGAAGACGGTGGTACCATACAGCAGAGAGGATTGAAGCACCACACAGCAGAGAAGATGGTGATACCATACAGCAGAGAGGATCGAAGCACAACACAGCAGAGAAGATGGTGGTACCATACAGCAGAGATGATCGAAGCACCACATAGCAGAGAAGATGGTGATACCATACAGCAGAGAGGATCGAAGAACCGCACAGCAGAGAAGATGGTGATACCATACAGCACAGAGGATTGAAGCACCGCACAGCAGAGAAGATGGTGATACCATACAGCAGAGAGGATCGAAGCACTGTACATCAGAGAAGATCCTAGCACAATATAGACGCAAGGATTGTAACACTATGTAGCAGAGAGGACAGTAGCCTCATACGAAGAAAATAGGTCAGCATCACACAACATCAAGCAAGCATAAATAAGTGAGCCATGAGCCATGAAGGTGAGTTAAATCTCAAAAAAGAATCAGCAGACCGATAGTGCCAAAAAGCAGAAAAGAAAAAAAAAGTACCAAGTAGCAAGAAATGATGCAGTGTCTGCACACATGGACCCTCTAGATTGGCCAAGGAGATCTGGGTATAGGGTTGCCCATTAAAGAGTTCCTGACAATTAGAATTTTTACAAGGATTAAAACACGGACACCTATAAAGCCGTGTATTGTTTTGTTTTCTAGATATCCCTAAATCAAGGGAGGTCTGCAAGAACCTGACCAGCTGTTGCAGAATTGCAATTCCCATAATACGTTTCCTTACAAATAGTAAAGTGTCATTATGAGTTGTAGTTCTAACTATTGGCCACCTCAGAACTAAATCAGTTGGCGATATAGCAACCCTATTAATTATAGTGACCATCTGTTAATTGCTCATATACATAAATAAATCTGAACTCCTACAAAAGAGGGACACACAAATTGGGTCAACATAAGGCATTATCCGTTCTAGATAAGGACACCTGAGGATACAGATATAGGTAAGCAGGAAAAGTAGTTTTCTTCTGTGCTTACTTAACTTATCCTTTTGAATTGGAATAGTTTATTTGCTCGTATTGTACTATTGAACTGTGTTTGGAACACAGACAGACAGAGATCAAAGGACATCAGCGACCAGCTTACAAAAACCTGTCTCAGTCTCTTCAGAAAAACGCTCTGCCCTTCTTATGGATAACAAATCATACATCATCTACAAAGAAGCATTGAAACACGGAGAGAGGGTTAAACATTATTGATGTTCAAATACTTGTTTGCTTTTAGCCTGTGTGTTATGTTTTACTTTGATTGTGTTATTCCTCACTCTCAAGGTTTGAAATAGCAAAGGAAATTCATAAAATAAAATAAAAAATAGTTATTTTTTGTAAAACAGAACTGCGGTGATATAAAATAAAAATTTTTACTAAATGAATGGAATATGCAGTTAAAGGAAAGAAAATTGTTTCTGTGAACGGTGAAGAACTGACAAGAAAATTGCAAACGTTAGGTCAAGCGTTATGTTTTCTTCTCACTTTAGTGAATAACCCCAAAACATTTGAAAAATAGCAAGATGTAAATGTAGGTGAATTGGATAACGTATTATAACACACGTAGATAAATGGGATACCGCTTCTTGAGTTAACTTAACTAAGGGTTCCTCTCCAATTTGTTGGAAAATAGCTGGTAACAGCTACCATTTACTGACAGGTTCCCAAGCTTGTCACTATTTTTTACTGGCTGACCACCAATAATGTCTGTTTGCAAAGATAACATCGTTTGCAAATAATTTGATCATTGGCAAAGCACAGAATAACACGTGTAAGTTGTCACCATAGCAACCACACCTTGGTGGTAAAAAAAAAAAAAGGAAAACGAGATAGCTGAATTTATTTAGGCCACAAAGGACGAAACACCATACAGCGTTTCAGCTAGCAGGACTTACTCATCTACTCTATTTGTACAGATTGACAGATTGGGGTTTTGTGGTTTCTTGATATGGTGTTCCAGGTTGGCAGTGGACTCACTTATGATGTATGTTCCTGTGTTCAGTTTCCCACTATTATATTTAAATTATTTAAAGGTTTAACAGAAAACTGCATCATTAGCCAAACCAAAAGTCTTCTGGCTGCTGGAGACATTTTAAAGATGGTGGAGCACTAGGTTCAACTTCCAAAACTCGACTCTACCTCCTGACTTATTGGGCCCTGCTCATTTTACCCCATGTACTCAACTCCTAACCCAATAAGGACATTAATGTTCTGTTAATAACTTTAAACCTATAAATACATATATGTGGGAATCACAAATCAATTCAAAGGGAAACTCTACTGCCAAAATACTAAATAAATATAAAACATTGTTTAAAAGTTATACCCCAAATGAAAACATACATGCATTTAATGATGCATTTTTCCTTGGGTTATATCTAAAAATAGCTTGCAAAACCTGCAGATCTCTTGTCTGCTGACTTTACAAACCCCCCCCCCTTCTAACTCCTTCCAGACTTTCTGTGATTGTCCAATCGTAGACTTCCCTATGCAGCTCAATGAGAAGTCTTTGCAAGGCAGCTGCTCTTGGCAATTGCTGCCCTCTGAGTTTAACTCACTGAGCTAACGAAACCAGGAAGTAACAGGTCCTGTTGTCTACTTGAAAGCCAAAGGAGTGTCACTAGTATAATTTATAAAAGACTATTTCTCTTGAAATCTGCACTTTTTTGCAAAATGAAAAAAGGGGACTCACTCTTCACACATAAAGCTTTTCAGCAAGTTAAAGTGCTTTAGGTGTCTGGAGTGTCCATTTAAAGAGGTCCAACTGCACCACGTTACCCAATGACGGTCTTGGGAGACTGAATAATACACAGGTCTGTCTTTTAGGGCATCTAGGATCTAACATCTCTAAATCCTGGCTTCTAAAACCATCAATAAGGGGGTACTAAACAGCAAAACTAATCAGACAGACACAGCATGTTGTTTTTGTTTGTTTTTTAACAAAAAAATATTATTAGTCCCAATCACAACGATAGATTTGTTTTATTTAAATGAATAAATTATACCATGTACCCTATTAAGCAAAATATGGAATTCCTGTAAAACTGACAACAAAAATTGGGAAATGTGCCCATTTGTCACTCTCCTTATCCTTCACTGCTATGTATTGCAATTACAGGTTAAGGTTCTTCAACAAAAAGTAAAAGAGAAGTTTTCAGCTAAGCGGATACCTGGAAGGCAGATACAGATATGATTTAATAACGCTATCAAGATTCTGTAGGTTATGGTCTTGAGAACTACTTTCATTATATAAGGCAAATGGAATAAAGTCAAAACACCTTTTACAGCTTTGAAAGCAATGAGATAATTCTCCATAATGTGCCAAACTCTATGTAACCGAGTCATTATACAGAGAGAACACTCATTAGTCAGTGTCAGAATTATTCGTATATTTCAAAGAGTGACTTTATCTCGAGAAGTGCTGTGAAAACTATGATTTATCTGTGGGATGTTTATAGAGACTGCTCAGTATTTTTTATTGCCCTTAAAGAGATGGGAAAATGTGTTTATATGTCACCAAATGCTTAGTTTAGTGTAATGATGTAATATAATTATATATATATATACTGAACAAAATTATAAACGCAACAATTTTATTTTGCCCCAATTTTTCACGAGCTGAACTAAGACTTTTTCTATGTACACAAAAGACCTATTTCTCTCAAATAATGTTCACAAATCTGTCTAAATCTGTGTTAGTGAGCATGTCTCCTTTGCCAAGATAATCCATCCATCTCACAGGTGTGGCATATCAAGATGCCTATTAGACAGCATGATTATTGCAAAGTTGGGCCTTAGGCTAGCCACAATAAAAGGTCACTCTAAAATGTGCAGTTTTTTAACACATCATATTACCACAGATGTTGCAAGTTTTGAGGGTGCGTGCAATTGGCATGCTGACTACAGGAATGTCCACCAGAGTTGTTGCCTGTGAATTGAATGTTCATTTCTCTACCATAAGCCATCTCCAAAGGCATTTCAGAGAATTTGGCAGTACATCCAACTGGCCTCACAACCGCAGACCATGTGAACCACACATAACCAGGACCTCCACATCCAGCATCTTCACCTCCAAGATCGTCTGAGACCAGCCACCCAGACAGCTGCTGCAACACTCGGTTTGCATAACCAAAGACTTTTTGCACAAACTGTCAGAAACCGTCTCAGGGAAACTCATCTGCATGCTCGTCGTCCTCATCGGGGTCTCGACCTGACTGCAGTTCATCATCGAAACTTACTTGAATGGACAAATGCTCACATTTGATGGCGTCTGGCATTTTGGCGAGGTGTTCTCTTCATGGATGAATCCCGGTTTTCACTGTACAGGGCAGATGGCAGACAGCGTGTATGGCGTTGTGTGGGTGAGCAGTTTGCTGATGTCAACATTGTGGATCAAGTGGCCCATAGTGGTGGTGGGGTTATGGTATGGGCAGGCGTATGTTATGGACAACGAACACAGGTGCACTTTATTGATGGCATTTTGAATGCACAGAGATACCGTGATGAGATCCTGAGGCCCATTGTTGTGCCATTCATCCACGACCATCACCTAATGTTGCAGCATGATAATGTAAAGCTCCATGTTGCAAGGATTTGTACATAATTCCTGGCTGAAAACACCCCAGTTCTTGCATGGCCAGCATACTCACCGGACATGTCACCAATTGAGCATGTTTGTGATGCTCTGGATCGGCGTATACGACAGCGTGTTCCAGGTCCTGCCAATATCCAGCAACTTCACACAGCCATTGAAGAGGAGTGGACCAACATTCCACAGGCCACAATCAACAACCTGATCAACTCTATGCGAAGGAGATGTGTTGCACTGCGTGAGGCAAATGGTGGTCACACCAGATGTTGACTGGTTTTCGGACCCACCTGACACTCCCAATACAGTAAAGCTGCACATTTTAGAGTAGCCTTTTCTTGTGGCTAGCCTAAGGCACACCTGTGCAATAATCATGCTGTCTAATCAGCATCTTGATATGCCACACCTGTGAGATGGATGGATTATCTCAGCAAAGGAGAA